GTCCCCCAAAATTGCTGTTTGTGTAGAAAATGCATGTCTGTTTGTTCTGGTATAATAGAAGAGGTCTGGAAACACTTTAATTTTATCATATGGAGACGGCATTGAGGTTTCTCTTCCGATCTTCATTATATTTTCTTTAATTCAATATGAGGAGCAACAGATTAGGACATCTCTTGGTATATTATCTGGAAGGTGTGTGGCCTTGAAGTCCTGTGCCATCTTTCTAGGTAATGTGGGTATCCTCGATTGGTACTCCTGAGCTGGAGTAGCAGTCATATAGATATTTTCCTAGATGTTCGTTGGAGACAGATTCTGTGATTCTCTAAGTTTTATGTTCTTCCATCTCTCGCTCTGTCCTCTATATCTGCTATCTTCTGTTCTAAATCCTCAATTTTATTTTTGTTTTGTTTATGTAAGTCTTGCTGTTTGCTCAACAAGAATTCTAGATTCTCTGTCTTTTCTTCATTTATAATTACTCTTTTGTGAAGATGTGTTAGCTCAGTTTTAGCTTTTTTGATATTCATTTCTATTTCATATTTAATTTTTTTCAAATTGGCTGTCCAGCGCTTCTAGTAGTTGTTCTCGGGATACTGGATGTTGTTCAGACAATATTATTCTTCTTCTCTCTTGTTCTTCCTCACCTGAATTTTTAACATTTGTCTGATCTGCCATCATGTGTCTCTGTGTCTGCTTTTGATGATTGTGGCGAGAAAAACAATAAACGTTTCTCCATTTTTGTATCTTTAGCCTTTTTGTCATTTTTTTGTATTTGTTTATTTTCTTGCCCTTCATTTGCATAAATTTTTTTTTTTGTTTCATTTTTTTTTTTTTTTTTAACAGCAGCCAAATTTTACTTCTTCTTTAAAGGGGAAGAGGAGAAAGTGGAGGCAACTGGAGGAAAAATCAAATGCTTTCCTTTATTTCTTGTCCAGTGAAAGTATTAATGCTCTAACCAATGTATAGCAGTTTTTGCCTCTTAGGTTTTAAAGAGTTAAGATTCTCTAATTTCAGTCAATAGACTTTTGTTTTTAGGCTTTTTAGACTTTGATTGTTTTTAGGTTTGTAACATTCTCCTGTTTCCTTTTTTATTACTATTACCTTTTGTCTTCCTTGATTTTCTGTATTTCCAGACAGATTAACTTATTTCTCTCTAAAATATTCTCAGCAGGGAAATACAGGGTTACATTTCTAGTGAGAAGACAAGGAAATAAATCATGATAAGCCTCCAAGGCTAATTGTTTAATGCACTCCAGTTATGCCAATGTAATCATATTTCATTGGAAGTGATTATTTAAGATTACTTAAGACGGTATCATTAAATAGCGAACTGCAGGTGGTAATGTATTTGCTAAATAATACAATGCAGTAGACATCAGTTTCTTAAGTTGTAATTAATTGTTCAGTAAAAAAAAAGTACCAAAGGCACAAGTAATCATCAGTGTTGAATTTTTTCTTTTTTAGAAATACATGCAAAATTATACTATGAATATACAAATATAGCCTGTTGGGAAGAGATGTCCATCATGGACATGTCTTGCTTTATAATTGGATGGAGTACATAAGAATATTGAAACATTTTTTCCATTTATATAAAGAGCTGTTTGGTAAGGAGCCAGCTTTTTACTTTGCAGGGCTATACTAAAATGTGTACACAACTAATTGTACAAGATTGGCTGAAAGAAAACATAAAGCAGGTAGCTCGCACAGTTAAACCATTCCCAATGTTTTAGCACCATTTTCAGACACTGAGTTTTTCTAAGAAGAAAAAACCCTCAATACCTCAAATTCCAGTACATATTTATGCTTGCTATGCTATAAAGTCATTATTGTCTCTTGAATTATGTCATAAGTCACTAAATATAGGTACATAGTCCAGAGAGTAAAAAGAATGACTGCATGACAAAATATATCTAATTAATCATAAGAGCAAAATGCAGTTTTCCCTGAGAAGTAAGTAAGAAATTTGAAATAAGGAAATTAAGTAGGCAAGTATCTGAGAAGAAAAAAGAAATGGGGAGGAAAAAGTGAGGGGGAGAAAAAAAACAAAAAACAGGAGTATGGTAAATTGTAAACACACTTTGGAAAGAAGGTCAGTGCAGATAATATTAGCATGAAGCATAATGAAAAGTGTGTAAATTCAGTCACTACTAGTGATGTACCGAACGGTTCGCCGGCGAACGGTTCCTGGCGAACATAGCATGTTCGCGTTCGCCACGGCGGGCGAACATATGCGCGGTTCGACCCGCCCCCTATTCGTCATCATTGAGTAAACTTTGACCCTGTACCTCACAGTCAGCAGACACATTCCAGCCAATTAGCAGCACACCCTCCCTAGCAGACCCTCCCACCTACTGGACAGCATCCATTTTAGATTCATTCTCAAGCTGCATGCTTAGTAAGAGGAGGGAAAGTGTAGCTGCTGTTCATAAGATAGGGAAAAGCATAGCTAGGTTAGGGATAAGGGTATGCTTTTTTTTATTTTTTTTTTCTATGTAATGTAAATGCACTTAGTTGTCTGCCACTGCTGCCAGCTTCTGTGTCAGGCTCACAGTGCCCATTTCCCCAGTCAGTGCCACCAATTACATCTGGTGTCACAATAGCTTGGATTTAAAAACAAAAAACTTTTTTCACTGTTATAGATTGAACAGCAGTCAGTTGTCTGCCACTGCTGCCAGCTTCTGTGTCAGGCTCACAGTGCATACTGTGCCCATTTCCCCAGTCAGTGCCACCAATTACATCTGGTGTCACAATAGCTTGGATTTAAAAAATAAAAACTTTTTTCACTGTTATAGACTGAATAGCAGTCAGCAGTCAGTTGTCTGCCACTGCTGCCAGCTTCTGTGTCAGGCTCACAGTGCATAC